ATTGGGAGGCTGAGGCAGGAGGATCATTGCAAGTTTGAGACAAGCCTGGCCTACAAATGAACTCAAGGCCAGCCTAACCTGTATAGCAAGACCCTGTCTCAAAAAGAAAAGAAAAAAAACTGCCAAAATATACCTGTGGATAAAGATTGACTTGTGTTATGAAGGGACTTTGAAAAACCAAGGAAACTCGTGTTTTGCTAAATGATGAAATTTTTCTGAAATATCCCACTAGACTCTAGTATTTCTTTCTAGCCAGGCATGCGTGATCTGTATAGCACCTTTGCACAGAAAGTAACCACATAGTGGTGAACTCTGGGACATGTATTACTGTGTTTTCTTAGGAACTAGATTTCTTTTTAGTGCCAGTAATTGAACTCAGGGCCTTGTGCCTCAGTGGCTAAATGGCTGCTTGGCAAGCACAAGGTCCTAAGTTCAATCCCCAGTACAAAAAAAAAAAGAGAGAGTTAAACACAAAAACATGCAAGTAAATAAACATAAACTATGACAAATGTTGTTCCATTGTCAATACCTGTAACTCTTGTTGGATGGACAGTAAGATGCAGCCTTTGTCCACCCTGGGACCATGCACTTCTGTGAGGAACAGCTTTTGATAGCTGAACATACAAAGCACTTTGCCCAGCAGTACTGCTTAGGAAGATTGTCAAGAAAGCAAGCAGTGCTTACAACTGTCTAGGAGTTTTTATAAAAATAATTAAGTTGGAAATAATTTTATAGTTGCAGAATGCTTAAACACTGATTATTACTCTACATTGGCCTTTCCTATGGCAATGAAAGATGAGAAATGGGTATAAGGCCAGAACCTTGGAAAGTATAGATTGATTACTGCCACATAAAGGCAGCAAGAACACTGAGCATGGCAGCATACTCATGTAATTCCAGCAGTCTAAGAGGCTGAGGCAGAAGGATCAAAAATTTGAGCCCAGATCAGGCAACTTTTTATTTTTGATTTTTAATTTTGGTTTTATAAAGACACAATCTTAGTATGTAGGTCAGACTGGTCTCAAACTTGTACCAATCCATGTGCCTCAGCCTCCCTAGTGCTAGGTTTACAGGTATGCACCACCACAAGCCTAGGCAGTTAAGCTACTTTGTGAGATGCTGTCAATAAATAAATAAATAAATAAATAAATAAATAAATAAATAAAATAGGCTGGAGTTGTAGCTCCATGTTAAGGCCCTGGTTTAATCCCTAGTACTAGAAGAAAAAGCAAAAAGCAGTAGAGAACAAGGTAGCATAGGATTGCAGCTGGCAATGATTTTGAATAATGGGGAAAGGTTAAATATTAAAGTATTTAGAGTTAGCATTTTATTTATTTATGTATTTATATTTGTATTTAGGACAGGGTCTACAGGGTCTTACTGCGTAGATTAGACTAGGAGGATCGTAGTGATCCTCCTGTTTATAGCCTCCCAAGCACTGGGATCACAAGCATGCACCACCATGCCCAGTCTCAATGGCCTCACCGTCATTATACTACTGAGATAGTATCTAACATT